TTGTCCTGTTCTCTACAATTAGATTGACTTTGCAGGGTTACTTGGCTCTGGGGCTGTGACTGTCCATGCACGAAACTAGAGACATGATGGTCGTACTTAGTGGAGCAGTTGATCCAGCAAGGCAGACTTCCCTGACCTAATCTTAATTAGGTGGGAGTTAATTGGGGTAGTGATGCCAAATTTTGGGTAGTGTCTGGAAAATTCCAGGAATTTCAACTAATCTCCAGACCACAGACATTAGTTTCCCTGGAGAAAATTACGGCTTTGGAGGGTAGAGTCTATGGCATTATACTCTACTTTTTAAAAATCTTAATGGCAAAAATGGTCAACTTTCTTTGTAATATTTGTGTGTTTGTGTGAGATAACAGATAAAGAAGTTTGTGCTGTATGGGGTAAGAACCAATCCCCCAAATGCCTAGCAAATTTATACGCCTAGGTGCGGCTGTATTTGGAATGCTATATATAGGTCTGGTTGCCCCATCTGAAAAAAGATATTGTGCATTGGAAAAAAGTTTCAACCACAATGATCACTGTTGGAGCGTGGTGGAAAGATGAAAGGAAAGACTAAGGAATTTGGAGCTTTATTGTAAACCAAAAAAGTCTGGGGGAAGAAATTTATAAAATTATTGATATGGTGGGAAAACTGGATAAAGAGAACTTTTTCTTCCTCTCCTATAGTACTAGAACTTCCTGCACCCAGTGAAGTTGGTGGGCAATAGGTTCAAGGCAGAGAAAAGGAAAGACTTATTTGAATAAAATTATTAAATTGTGGAATTCACTGCCAATGGCTGCAGTGATGTCCATGAGCATAGATAGCTTTAAAATTAGACAGATTCAAGGAGATTTCCATCAGTAGCCACTAGCTCCATATTTAAAGTCATTGGTCCCGGTCACATGGGCCGGAAAATGCGGGGGGGGGGAGCGTGGCTGTTTGCCCTGGAGCAAAGTAACGCGCGGCAGCCCAATCACATGTCCCATGGAGGTCCCGTGGGTATGCCGTTAGGTGCCGATCAAATGGCTATCCTGCAGCACGGCAAAGAAGCTGCATGGCGTGATCACACTGGCAATCGCTAGGCACCGCTTCCGTGGCAAACGGGATTTTTTCCCCCTCACCACAGTGTGTGCATGTGCCAGTGGGCGTTTGTGCGCATCCTGTGGAGACTTTAAACAAAAAAAAATCCGGTTTGCGACGGGACATGGGCGGGCGCCAGATGCCACAGGATTCCAGTGGAAACGCAATCAGACGCCCGCCCTTGCCCCGCGTTTTCCGGAAACTAGCACATCGTTCTTCGGCAAGAAGCCACGGGTTAGCCACGGGTGCACTACGCTTCCCAGATGTTGCGGTGTGATCACGCCTGGAAAATCCGCCTATCATCCATATCTTTAGCGCGGCAAATGCTCCGCGTGAACAGGACCATTGTAAACTGAAATGCCAGTTGTTGGGAGGGGACAGCAACAGATGGACAGTTTGACCTCTTTGCCACTGACAGACCTTCTGGAACATCTGGTTGGTCACTATACTCTACTGAGGTTCCCTCCCTGACTCCATTTCCCAGGTCTCCATGAATTTCCCAACCTGTAGCTGGCAACACTAAACTGGGCCCAGCTTCACTGCCAGCAGGTGCTGGAGTAGGATTACCAATCTCCAGGTGGCACCTGACGGTTTCTTGCTATTACAGTTAATTTCCAGATGACCAAGATCAGTTCCCCTGGAGAAATGGCTCCTCTGGAGGGTGGACTCTATGGTGTTAGACCCAGTTGAGGTTCCTCCCCCTCCCCAAACCCTGCTTTCTCCAAGCTCCACCCCCCCCCCAAATCTCCAGGTATTTTCCAACCCAAAGCTGGTATCCCTTTGCCGGATCTCCTGAGGCTGCACTGTGCTCTGGCCAGGATCCTGTAAGAAAGTATTACTCTCAGAGCACTGTGCTTGATCACTGGTGGGTTTCCATGCAGCCAGTCTGGCACTGTGCCTCCTTTCTGCTACCTCAGCCTGGGCCTTCAGCCACCACCATCTCCCAGAATTACAAGCAATCTCCAGGCAACAGAGATCAGTTTCTCTGGACAAAATGGCTGCGTTGGAGGGTGGACTTTATGGCATTATACCCCATCCTCCCCAAGCTCCACCTCCAAATCCCCAGGAATTTCCCAACCTACAGTTGGCAACCCTAGACTCATGACAGGGATACAGGGAGAAATGAGATGCTTTAAATCCACAGATTAATGTCATAAATAGACAAGACAGATCTTTCTCTAAACCTAAGAAAAGGCTCAGATTTGCAGAAAAATCTGAAATCTTTTAAAAAACGAAGCAGTGCCTGTAGCTTTAAGAAATGAATGCCCTTTGAGATCTCACTTTGTGCTAAAACCATGGAGTTTCCAGTGATTCCTTAGAGAGGTAAGACATCAATTCTGTTTTTTCCAGGAAGTGATATCACATCATCACTACCAGCTGACTTAGAATACTGACTGTAATGGAAGCAATATCGGGATGTTTTGCTGCATCCACCTCAAATAAGAAAGAAAAAATGCTGATAAGTGACCTTCACACCTGAGAGGAGAGAACGGAGAGTATCAGTTTACCTTTACACATTTATCTGCTATTTTAACATATTTATTGCTTTACAACTGTTGACCTTATAACCTTAGCTTGTTATTTATTTCCATCTTTGCACATCTTCATTGTGCATGTTAATTTGCTGTTCAGCCCATCTATAAGTTTGAACCTTACCTACCATTCCAAGGTCTTTGAAAAAGTGTGCATGCACATGAAAGCTCATTCCTTGAATAAAACTTTGTTGGTTTAAAAGGTGCAACTGGACTCTAAAATTGTTCTACTGCTTCAGACCAACCCAGCTGACCACCTGGATCTATACAAAAACAAGTATGAAAACCATCATGGGTAATAAGTCCTTAACTCTACACCACAGCATGACTCCTCTTTCTCTCAGCCTTTGATGAGTTTGGCAGTTCATAGGATGTGGTCAGACCTGCTGAGCTAGCCAAGTGGCAATTTAAGAGCACTTTATTAATGAGGGTGGTGGTCGTGGTGGTGGAATGTATGTTGTAGTTTTGAAGGCAAAAGACGCTCAGAGGTGGTTTGCCATTGCCTGTCTCTCTGGTCTTCTTGGTGGTCTCTCCAAGTACTAACCAGGGCCGACCCTGCTTAGTTTCCCAGATTCGACGAGATTCGGCGACCCTGGGTCATACAGCTCAGTGCTATCCATGAGGGCACTTGCTGGTAGATCAGCAGCCTAACACCAGCCAGGCTGCAATCAACCCTCACCAGCAAGCCGATGGTCTTGTCAGTTTCCCTCCCCTACAAGGAGGAACCAGAACTTTAACATTTGGCCAAGAGAGCGAGCCGCGCGTTACCGCTTGTCCACTCGGCAAGTAATTGGCCGCCTCTTTCCGTAAGGCGCTCTGCCATTAGCCCTTCCTCGCGAGTGGGGACCAGCCTCGCAATCTCCTTTAAGCGCTGGATTCGAGCCGTATATCCCGCGCCGGAAGCAGAGTCACGTCAATTCCAGCCTCGCCGCGCAGGAGCCTGCTACTGGTCGGGGAAGGAAGGCGAGAGGCGGAGGAAGAGGAGGTGGGGACTTGCTGTTGCATGCGCTTCGGTACGCTGTGTGGTGTCTGGCCATGGACGGCACTCTCATCGCGAACCCCTTTACGGGCCGTAAGTAGATTCTCCGCTGCTTTGGTGATACGCTTGGCACGATCAAGTGAATGTGTGTAAACAAGAGATCCGTTCGGGAAACTGCCTGCCCTTCTTTTGATAAGACTCTATGATCCGTTTTGCATCACCGCCACCTTTCTGAGCTTTTGTTTTCTTTTGATAAGCATCCTGGAGATCAGTTCCTCCTTGCTAGCTCGCTTTCCTTTGCCCTGTTGCAAATCGGCACTTGTCTGCGCACTCTGCCTTTGCTAATACCGGCGCGGGCGGGAAGCATGTTGGAAGTAGGAAGATCTTCCATGTTCTCTGGTTTGTGCTGCTCGGTTTATTTTAATCCAGTTACCGTGAAACCAGTCTTTTCTTTTCTCAGGATTACCCACCCTCGTGTATTCATTCGTAGGAGTAAGTGCAGATGTAAAAGTGGCAGAGCATTGGGGTGAGACAGAAGAGGTGGAGAGAATAACAAGCAGTTGGAAACGTTTTGTTTTTAGCGTAGAGTACCCTTTCTCCTCCAGGCACGTTGTGTTGCCTACTATTGTGGTGTGCTAGCAGTGATAAGCAGCCGAATTCTAATCCTGTTCATGTAGGAAATAAGTCTTATTGTTCTCAGTACTTCTTATTTCCTAGTAGCTATGCTTAAAATTGTGATGTCAGCCAATGAAGTGTAGGTTAGTGGTTACTTACTTTCTGTCACAATGCCTCCCCTGGCCAAGCCATGCCAAGAGGATAGAAGCTCCCAATAAGTACATGTAATCTGTTTAAGTGTTGGCAAACATACAGTAGGGCTCAATCTTCCAGCTCCTCCTAACACTTGTGCTGAAAGGGTTGAAGGATAAACAATGACATATGTTAAGAAAACCAGTGATCTCTGTAGCAAAGAGGTGGAAAGATGCAGAATTTTTTTTTTTTGTACAATACCAGAGGTGGAGAAATGCAGAGTGGGCTAAGAAGGAATGCCGTTTACTGGAGCAGTCAGGCTTCTTAGGCAACATGTTAACATGTCCTCTAAGAAGCATTCCCATGCTTTTTTACATTTTCACAGCATGTAAATTGCGTAGTCTGTTATGTGGCTTTTTGAGAAAGGCAGGGGAATAAATTCTCCTTTGAAAGAATGCTTCTCAGATCTCCTCTCTCTATCCTTTGCCTCCCAGAATTTTATTTATTTAGTAAATGTCTAGACATCCTTTTTGACCATGCACGGTACCTAAGGTAGTTCACATGACATGCTAAAATAACAGCACATGTAACAGGAGAGGTGGCATATCCACACTTCCAAAATTAAAGTACAAAAGAGAGATCTGTTTTTTAACAGCATCTCTCTTGAAAGGTAAAACACCATGATGTTCCCCATTGGTTTTAGCCAAAGCCCATCTAGGATGGATTTTAATCTCTTTAACCTGTCTTCTTGTAGTAGGTATTCTGTATCCCTGAAGATCTTGATTTTCATCAATGTTCTGTAGAATTCTATTATTCTTTTTGTGTTGGGTTGATGAAAACTGTATGCAGTGCGATGTTACAGGATTAGCCCTTCAGTGGTCTTGGTCTTTTCTGTCCAATCAGAAATACCTTTCCCACCAGAGTTACAGAATCAACTGGGTGGTTTTTGTCTTGTGGAGTGCCACAGGGTTCTGTTCTTTCACCCATGCTCTCTCTATATACATGAGGCTACTGAATGAGATTGTCTGGAACTCTGGGGTTGGGTGTCATTAATACATGGGAGACACGCAGCTCTATATTTCATTATCCAAGGCTCCAGATGCTTCTCTCTCAGTACTGAACTGGTGCCTTGAGGCTGTGGTCTAAACTAAGGCAGAACAAGCTGAAGCTGAATCAAGAGGAGACAGAGGTTATGTTGGTTGGGAAGGCTAATGTTCTGCAGGGGTTGGGTTTATTTGTCCTTAATGGAATGTTGGCTTTTGCACAGCAGGTTAAGAGCTTAGGGGTGCCTGGACCCAGCGGTGCTGTTTGAAAAGCAGGCTGATGGCCAAGAGTGCCTTATTGGCTGCATCTGATTGACCAACTCTCTCCTTGCCTAGCCGTAGCCAGTCTGGCCCTGCTTATCCATGGCTGTGCAATTTCGTGGTCAGATTACAATAACCCTGTCTGTGTTGGGTTGCCCTTGAAGACAATCCGGAAACTGCAGCTGCTCTAGAGTGTGGCCACCCACTTTTCATCAGGGATGAACCAGTGGGAACATATGCTACTCATTTTGAAATAATTACATCAGCTGCCAGTTTCTAAATTCAATTTAAGGTGCTGGTTATTATGACCTTTAAATCCTTTCATGGCCTGGGGCCCACGTATCTGAAGGATTGTCTCCTCCCATGTGCTCCCAAGTACCCGTGACCACCTGCTGGCTGTTCCCCCACTGAGGCTGGCCCGCCCGCCTGAGCCTTTTCCATCCTGGCTCCTGCTCTGTGGAATGGGCTCCCTGAAGAAGTGAAGGAGCCCCTTCTTTGGAGGCCTTTAGAAAGCGCTGCAAGGCTTACTGGTTTGCCCGGGCATCTTTTAAAGGGGGGGGGGCGTGGTATCTGGGGTTATTAACTTTTATTTGGTATTAACTTGCCATGTTTTAGTGACTGTTTATAAACCATCTTGAGCCATGTTTTAATAAATATGGAGCTATTCACAGATGGTTACCCAGTGTGCAGTGGGGATACAGAGGTTTAAGTGCCTGTTGTAAGTCTCTTAAGCAGGGTCCTGCTTGCTTGTCTGGAAACAAGTGGCCAAGTTAAACACTTAAGCATATTAAACACTTGTAATTTTTTTTCATTTTTTTGTAATTTTGTAATTTTTTGTTTTTGTGTATAGGGCTTCAGCTGCATTGGCATGGACTTGTCTACCATATATTTCAAATTGCATCCTTCTTTCAAGGAACTCAGGGTGGCTTATATAGCTGTCTCCCCTTCATATATCCCCACAATAACCCTGAACTGCAGTGGCATAGCATATGGCCAGTCAGTAGCTCAGGGAGACTGGCCTAGGGTTGCCCACTGAGCTTCATGGCTGAATGCAAATTTGAACCCAGGTTACCTAGGTCCTAGCCTGACACTTAGTGTTGCACCGTGTTGGCTCTTATGCCCAGCTTTACCTTTATGACCTTCAACTTTTACCGCTCTCTCTGCCCTGGCAGGTCTCATTGGTAGAATGTGACTTCTGAAGAGCAGATGCTGCCCTCCTCTATCCTGTTTGCCCTACGACGATGGATGAGTGGAAACCTAATCCACTAGCCAAGCCTCGAAAGAAACGCAGCTGGTATCTGTCTTGGAAGTACAAGCTGACCAACCAGAGAGCCCTACGGAGGCTGTTTCAGGTGAGAACCAGTCCAGCCCGCCCTGCCTTCTGCTCACTTAAAATGTATACATTGTGTCAGGCTAGGATTAAGGTAGATCAGCTTTAAATCCTTCTGGTTTATGTAGTCTCTGTGCTCAAGGAGGTTGAAACTTTACAAATGGAATGAGGAGGAGGTGATAGTGATTCTTCATGGAAGCAAAAGCACGTATCTACACAAAATGAGTAGTTTCAGCATGTGTTTCTTGGTAGGAAACAATGATGAGCCCTGTGGCACTTGGCAAATTAGGGAGTTATTCATCCTTTCTGATATGAGGCAATACAAGGTTTGGGGTGCCTTCAGTAATGGTCTATAAGCCCCTATCTAACACTAATGGACTATTTTGCCAAAATCAGTGGAGTTTCAGAGATCGGCCCAAGGCTCCCTGCAATCCTTGGAGGAAGCGTACATTGAGCCTGAATCTCCTAAATCCAAGCTGTTCATTCTGCACAGTCACTGGCTCCAAATGGTTAAAATGTATCTAAAGAACAGGCTCTGCATGTTACTTCTGCATGTTTTATTAGTGGTGTTCAGGGATAAAAGGAGCTGAGAGTCTCTCATGCTAGGATGCCCTGTTCCAGAATCCTGGCAGAGAAGTGAAGTCCGTATGAAACTCTGTCCTTTTGACTATAGCTGGAAACTGGCCCCTCACTGGCATTGAAGGGCCGTAGGCAAAGCAGACTTAAAAGGCATTGGCCTGAGGGAGAGATTTGGATAGGGAGGACTAGACCTTAGAGCCAAGGGATAGGCAGGGAATAGCCCATTGCTCCAGGGGGTGGAGAAAATGGCTAATGGTAGCTTCTGGACCGCTGCACTGCATGTGAGCAGGGTGTGGAAGAGGCCCATGTATGCTGGGGCATAAAGGGTGAAATATCTGGAAATGTCTCTTCCTTAAATTTTAAAGGGTCAGTTCATGTAATTCATGCAACTCACGTCTGATCTCTTATTTTTATATTATTAAAATTCTTGGCAGGTATTTATAGCTTTGCTATTTCTGAATTTACTTGAGAGGCTCTTTTCATCCTGAATTCATCACTGTAGACTCCACCTAAAATGCCAATAAACACATTTTCTAAAAGTTTTAGAGTATTCCTTCATCTCTTCAGGGAGAGTGACAGTGTAGTTCTTTGCAGAGTTACTCCAATCTAAATCCATTAATTTCAGTGCTATTAGGCCAGAATAATTCTGTACAGGATTACATGGTGAGCCACCTCCTGCCTGCCTGCATTTTCTACCAAAGAGCTATTGGAGGTGGATCAGTTGAGATGTTCTCACCTCTTATGCAAGATAAAAAAAGAATGCACTGTATCTTGTATCATCTTGCAAGGTTTCTCACTCATGCTGTCTGACGAAGGATTCTCCTTTCCCTGACTGATCTGATCAAGGATTCCACATACAAACTAATGCAGCCCTAGTAGCAACTGAACCCTTCTTTGTCCAATTAGTCTCAAGATTTTTACAGCAGGTAGAAGTGTGTGTCTGTCCTCTTCTATGTATGAGAGTGTGCGCATGCTAGTTGTGCATTATTCATCCTTAACAAATAGGCCTTGTAGGTGCCTTTTAAAAAAACAATTGATTTGCAGCACTGTAGGTCCAGGTTTTCTCAAACTGTCAGTTTCTCCTATTGCCCCATGGCTCTGAACAAGTTTCAATTAAAAGACAAAACAGAAGGAGGAGGGGCAGAGACTTGGAAAACTTCATGCTGGATTGTGTGTCTGTGACAGACTATTCCCCTCCATATATTTTTAGATGCACTAATTGGCTCTGTGTTCCCTCTAGCAAGCTTTGCTACGCAGATCTGTTTATGTAACAGAGGTTGCTAATAAAATGTGAATACGTGGAAGCCCATGAACATTTGCAAGAATTAAGCACTGTTTACCTTGCTGTTTAGCGTATATTGGAGGTGAAGAAGTGCAGTGAGTGGCGGGAAGAAGTTAATTACGGGAAGATGCTGGGGCTAGAGACTGCCTGAAGGCCATGCTTCCTATTCCCTGGTGAGTCAGGATGGGCTGCACTTAGGAGGAAGGAAATGCACTCTGTGGTACTCAGGAATATTTCTCCTCATTTTTTGTTATACAACACATAAGTGTCTGTGGCATCCTTGAGTTCACTATGCAAAGAACCTTGACCCCAAGGAGTTTTCAGACTAAAATGAGAGTGGAGACCCAAGAAGGACAAATGCTGGTACTTAAAACTAAGAATCAAGATGGAGGAATAAGTCAGAGGTTGTGTGGAAAAAGTGGTTCTAGAAGAGAGAGGAGGGGGAGAGGCAGATGGGAGGCACCATAATACCATGTTCCAGGAGGGGTTACCATGCCGAGGAATGGAGTTACAATAGAGATGTTGAACTCATTTGTTACAAGGGCCAGATCTGACATGAATGTCACTTTGTCAGGCCGGGCCATGTGTGCCAACGGTGCAGTAATGGGCAGATGCTCCCACACTGTTTGACTGCTGCAGACGAGGTTGTTCTGCCGTGCTGAACCACATTTGTAGTGGCTCCTCCAACCTCCCCTGAGCAGTCTCCTGTTCCCTCCCTTGCACTAGTTGCTCACGGGCCATATAAGAGCTCTGGATGGGCCAGTTCTGGCCCCCAGGCCTTATGTTTGTCACCCCTAAGGGGAAAGGAGGCCCTTGGACAGCTGAAGGGGAATATGGTCAGAGGAGCACAATCAAGGGTGGGGCTAGGCTGTGGAGCACTTTAAAAGAAAGATTTGAGCTGGTCCTCTAAAGGATGGGAAATGAGAAACGGCCCCTTCATTAGTATTTCTTTCTAATAGTGCTGGTTGAGCACTGACAGGGAAATTCCAGTACAGGCCTTTCACAATTGCCTCCTTTTAAGAACTGGGGCACAGATAAGCTTTGCAGTCTGGGCATGAGGGAAGCCTCACCTCTCACGAACAATACCCTGTCTGCATGTTGCTTCTCTGTTTTGCACTTATTTTAGTGTTGTTTCCCCTGGCCTGATGTCCCCTTCCTTCGTCTGCTTTGTACTTTGAAGAAGTGTTTGAGCCTGCTCCAAAAACTAGCTGGAGGGCTAGTCTACATGCAGCTTATTGTGTGATAACACTGTTCCTTACCATAACACTTCACACTGGATACAGGAGATTGCGTGATTGAGTTATCCTCTTTTTAAAAACTTACACAGTGTCCTGGATAGATGCTAGGACAGAACCCAAATTTTTGGCCCTTTGTTTTAAGGGAAGGGCTATTTTAGTGAAGGTTGCATTCAGTCTTGAACAGTGCAGTCTTAAGCCCCAGATGCTAATGCATTGCTGGCGCTGGTATCCTATGCTCTCAGCACAGAAAAGTAATTCCAGTAAACACTCAGCTTCAAGTCCCTGAGAATGTGGCAGTGACACTGCCTCCACACACCAATCACCAAGTGGCATGCCAGTGACACCCGTCTGTCGGCCACGTATGAAAGGAGCCAAGTAATATGCAGCAGTGCTGGCAACTGTTCCTGACATTGCCTTGCCCCCATCCATGAACACAAGAGACCAGAGGAAATGCAGCACCTCTTCAGTTGTAACATGTCCAGTAGGAACCCTGTAACTCCACCACACCTGCAGTCTTTCTTGGTGAGGATTCAGATCCCTTCCTGCAAGCACATACCCTTTTGACAGGCACGCATGCAAGGGAGGAAGCATCATCAGTCCAAGCATATCACCCAGACACTGCCACAGTGCACTTGGAAGGGAAACCCACTGAGAACCCCTGTCCTCCCCCATGCAAATCTTCAGGTCACCAGAGTAGCTTTTTGCAAGGCATGGGGGACACAGGTTCTGGATTAGCAACAAGGGAACGTCCAGCTACATATTCATGAAAGGCATTCCTGTCATCTCCTCAATAGATGTAGCCCAGAGTTGCTCACACACTGTTATCTGAGAAAGGGGTGTTGTGTCTGGGATATATGTAGTGTTCGGGAGATCTGGGTTTGGCTGCAGAGAAATCAGTATCCTAACCTGCACCATGACTATGCAGGAGTGCTAGGTGGGGGACTTTGCTTTATATTTACACCAATCTTTTCACTCGGGACAGAATATGGGCTAAGGATGTTTAGGATACTGTGTGAGCCCTGCTGCTCTACCATCAATACCCACTACTGGCCCAGTGGCACCAGTGCCAGGTTTATACCTTTACAATGTCAACAGGGTGTTATAACTGCATATCTTCTCATTATAGCATTGTGGGGCTTAGTTGCCATTATAAGTTTTTACAGGATGCTGCTAGAATTGTGCTGGAAAATCTCCCACCCTCAGTTCAAGGTAATCTGGTTCAGTAAGAGTTTTAATACATGAGAAACTCTTCGTCCAAACCAGGCTAGGGTCCAGCAATCATGTGATGCCTGAATTCCTTCAGATTCTGCCTTTCTCTTTGTGGGAAAAGCCCTTGGAGCCTGTGTCCTGCCTCTTTTCTTTCCCAATGCAGTTGAGGAAATATTCAAAAATATTAATGAGGAATTTCAGACAGATGATATAATCCGGAAGAGGAACGGTTCCCAAACGGTTTCTGGTCTGTCATTTCAGACAGAACCGTTTTAGAACCGGTTCCCTACCGGAATATATTTGTAATTTCACACACAAACACTTCTGTCCCATTTAGGAAACGGGGCTGAAGCGTTTTACCTGTCATCCGCTTCCAAGTAGTTTCCTCTCCCGGTTCTGATGCGCTTTTCCCCGCCGTTTTTCGCCCGTGCGGAACGTTCGATTTATAGTGCTATGACGGTATAACGTAACAGCATTATATCAACCCCATTGGAATGCCTGGAGTGTTGTGTTATAGCACTATAGCACTCTAAAGTGAACATTAAAAAAAAAAAAGCCGGAGATCAGCCACACGGGTGAAAAACGGCAGGGAAAAAGAAGGAAAAAGCGGTGCAACTGCTTCAGATCCAGCTCTTTACCGGAAGGGGAAAGCCATGTGTGAAATGGCAGTCCTATACCGGTTTACTCCACAACAGATCAAAAACGGCTTCAAAACTGGTTAAAAAGGGTAATGTGAAATTCCTCAGTGTCTCCCTTTTTTATTTGACCAAGGTGGGAGCATTAAAAGGCTACAGGAGAGCATGAAACAAACTGATTTCTAAACCCTCATTCTCTCTACTTTCAAGAAGCATCTGATGACCTTGGAAACAACTTATTTAGTATTGAATTTTTCGGACATTGTTTTTGAAACCCAAAAAGGCCAAGGAATCCATGCGGCTGTCTTCAAGAATCTGACATTGTGATAAGTAGAGTGGTATGACAAATGTATTTCAATATCTTGTCTGGATCCCATGTCTCAAAATAGCAAGTTTAATACAAAGCTGTCAATGTTGCGTGGAAAGCTGACACCTTAATTGCACACAGGCTGGGCTCTTCAGGTTCAGGTTCCCATAGAAACCCATGTCGCCCTGAATCCCTGCGTCACAGTAACACTGTTCATTAGAGCTTCATTGTACATATTGTGGCAGTGTGACATTCTCTGCAAACCACCCTACCACAATAGTGTAATGGAAGCAATGATACAACCTTTCCTACCAAGGTAAGCTAGAAGCGCCTGCTAAGTCAGATGGCATTTCTCGGCCTAACGGCCATTTTGTATATTGGTGCAGACAACTTGGCATTCGTCTTGTTGTGTACTGTGGGAAATTAGGTCACATGATCACTGTGTATTTTGCCATGTTTGTCTCTGAGTGGAGGTATGGCTAAAATTGCTGTGATTCTTAAAAGATTTTAAAAACTCAGTTTCTGCTTCTAAAAAACCAGATTCCATATGTAGAATCATATTTGAGCTTTCCCAATTTCCATTTGCAACCTTCTCGAATATTTAGAAGGAATATAGGTGGGAATGATGCCGTTAAGTAAATGAGGCAGAGAGCGTTAACTATAAACAAAAAACTGCATAGTCATGAAACTTTGTTTAGGCCAAGCAGTCCTCCTCCCTTTCCATCTTTGTTCTTGCATCCTATCCCCTCAGCTCTGCTACCAGCTTAGTTGTTTGTAGGCAATATTGTATTTAAGAAGACCACTGCTGGAGATCATAGGTTGGAGAAAGTGTATGGGAGCTGTGGGAAGATGAGGATACCAGATTCGCTATCTTTGAAAGTCCTACAGTGAGATTAGACACACAGTCTCAAGATTAAATCCACAGCCTTGGGGACTAGAAAACTGCTTTGTTTTAGTGAAGAGAATTAACTAGTGCGGTGATGTGGTTCAGGTATCGGACTAAGTCTGGAGAAAGAGAGCTAAGTTTGAATCTTGCAGCTCACTTGGTGATCTTGGGCCAGGCTCACTCATAGCCTAACTTGCTCTGAGGAATTGTATAAGGATATGTTGGCAGGGGAAGACTGTCCGTTCTGCCCTGTGGGAGCGGAAGACACAAATGAGGGATGTATTCACATTATTCACAATGCTCTTGAGATGCTTGTCTGAAAAGAAGGAAGATTCTCACTGTTTTGAGTCCTAGGGCTGCCAATATGACCATGTGTTTTACTTTCTCTAGAAAAACAAATACAGAGAGAGAACAGATTTCAGAGGTTTATAGGAAATGGAGAACTTTATTTAGAGGACTTCTTCTTGGACAGTAAAGATGTGCCCCTGGAGCCCTGACTTCACATGGCCAATGGGAGCCCTGACAGTTTCAACATCCATGTGTTCTATAAGTCTGGCTGTAGATCATATCAATCTCTTTGACAGGAGCTGACAGCTCAGGGTGTCAGTAGAGCTGGCTCCAACCGGTTCTGTCTAGTTGATAGCAGAGCTAATTAACAGTGACTCAGCATTGGGTCCTGATTGGACAATGCTAGTATAAGTATGATGCTGTACTGTGTACTTTACCCTCTTGATGGAAACCTGGTGTCTGCGTGAGCATTTTGTCGTTCTGTGCAATATATTGGTGGAGGCTCGGTTCAAGACCCGGGTGCCGCAAGACAGGGTGAGCTCCTGTCTCTAGTTCCAGCTCCTGCCAACCTAGCAGTTCGAAAGCAAGAAATTGCAAGTAGATAAATAGGTACCACTTCGGTGGGAAGGTAACAGCGTTCCGTGCGCCTTGTTGTTTAGTCATGCCGGCCACATGACCACGGAAACGTCTTCGGACAGCGCTGGCTCTTCGGCTTTGAAACGGAGATGAGCACCGCAACCCTAGAGTTGGATTCGACTGGCTTTCGAGCAAGGGAACCTTTACCTTTACCTTACACCAAGCCTATAAGACTTACGTCTTCTTTGATACTCTCACACCACTCGCAACCTGCAGTGGGCTAGCACCACGCAAACCTCGACAGACAGGTGGCTCTCTCCCAGCTGCAGAGGCACCAGCCCTGACACCAGTTTCCACCCCAGGTAGCCTGGAGACAAAGGATTGGAACCCAAAGACTTCCTCAGGCTGCAGCACACACACTGAGAAATTAAGTGGGAGCAGGCTCCTGTTTGCTGCTTGCAGGGAGGGAGCAGCTGCCCGTGGTCTTAAAGTGCTGAAGTTATATATTTTTTTAAAGATTATTCGCAACCTTTCTGTCTTACAATGTAGATAAAGCAACAACCATAAAAATACATAAAAGACCATAATTTAAAATGACAATTTAGGACTGCCAATAAATAGAAAAACTAAATTAGTCAAATTCTATCCTAAATAAAACTGTCTTCAGCTGCTTCCTAAAGATCAAAAGTGAAGGGGCCAGGCACACATCTTGGGGGAGGTTGTTTCATAATCATGGGGCAGTCAGGAGGGCTTCTCCCTGTGATCTTAAGGTCTGGACTGGAACATATGAGAGAAGGTAACCAATGCCCATGTAGACTATTAATAGACTTAAACTTTGTTCTGCTGCTTCAGACCAACACGACTACCCACCTTTTTTCCTGTTATTGTTAGTTAGGGAGGGGGTCCCCAATCTCCTTGAATATGGACTCCTGTGTCACCCTGAACCATGGCTGTCTAAAGTGGGTGAGGGCAAAGACCACCATGCCTGGACTCTGCCTACCCCGAAGGGCTTGAAATTTACCCCCATGCCCCACATTAACCTAAAAAGAAACCGTCCTGCCAGCTCTTCCCTGAATCATTTCTTACTAACTGATCACAAAGACAGTGTAGGTTTCTGAGTTGCATAACCTTTTATCACGGGTAGTAAAAATATAAAACACTATCCTTGACACTATCCTTATGACCATTTATGCAGATGTATGCAGACCCAACAGTTCAAATTATTTGGTTCTGTATTCCTACCAAGCACCTGGTTTTCACTGAGCTGAAATCAGCTGTGCTTCTGTCTAAAATGATGTCCACATTTTAAAATAACAGTCTGATCTATATAGGATGACTACACCCCATGGTGCTGTGCTAGACACTTATACTGTACTGTATGAGCTGTCTCTTGTGTCCACAGTCCAGTGTTCCAAGGGTGTTAATCCAAAAGGCAGAGAGGCTTTCTTGCTTCTCATGCTGATTGCTCTTGTGTAGGTGTCAATACCAGACTGGTAGTTCAATGGATTCTAGCTTGTCTTGCCAGCACTATGGGCTTAAGGGGATCAAAAATATTAGTAACAACAGTTGGATGCTAGTGTGGATACCTGGAAATGCTAGGAAAAAAGCTTCTATTTGAAATCCAAGAGTAGCTGATGTAAGTTTAGTAGTATCAAAAAGTCAAACGCTGCATATTCTGAAGATAGCATTTCAAATCCTCCTTGGTCCTCTTTGCATGCCATAGGATTCTCCTGAGAGCAGCTCATTGAAAGGATTGTGCCTCTTGATAATATTCCCATTAACAAAGCTTGGAAGGCCTTGTCAAGTTTGTGTCACGTGAGACTTGACCCACAACTGATTTCCATCTCCAAATGCCAGAAGTCAGTTCTGCATAATTTCAATAAAGGCTGGCTGGCTGCCAAGGACAGTGGGCTGTGCCTCCAGTAGGCATTGAGGTGACCTTCCTCTGCTGCCCCTTATGCAAAAGAAAGATGGAATTATGGGCGAGACACTTTAAAAACATGCATACTATGGGTGGCCACTAAAACAAGGTTTTTCAATGAAGAATGAGATGTTGGAATGCAAATAAAGTAGCAGAGACCAAGTTTCACCTATGAAGGGTGAAAGGTCAAGGTGAAAGGCGTAATACTGTGCCTCATTTGAATCTGCTGTCTTGCTGATTGGTGGTATGGTATATAATTTAATCTGGATTCTGCCTACAGCACCTTTTGAAACAGGAAGATAGGATTCAGATTTCCCGTTCGAATCTTTTAATGGTCTGATGTGGATGGTGCTTTGCCTTGCAGACAGGGGCTGTTCTCTTCTTGCTGGTGACTGTCATAGTAAACATAAAACTGATCTTGGACACTAGGAGGGCAGCCAGTGAAGAAGAGGAGTCTGCTCAGGATTATGGTGAGTATGAAAGGTTGTAACTGGGTGGTGTCAGTAGTGTGTCCATGTACCCGAGCTGGTGCCTTCCCCAGTAGCATGCTCAAATCTCTCATATCATGGGCTCCAGTCCACACCCCTAACCCAGGATTGTCATACTTGATCTGTTCTCTGTGGTGCTGCAAGGTTCTACATATGCATTGCAGCAGATTTCAAAGAGAAAGAATGTTCCATAATGAAGAGTCTGTGGGTGGGAGAGTTTAATGGTATCTTTTGGAGATTCAGATCTATTCAAGGGGGTAGCTAAGAATCCTAAATTCACAGATAAAATTGGTGAGTAGATAATAGTATTTTCTTGAAGAAATGTTCCTATTTGTATTATGAAAACCTTCATATGGGGCTGGGGAGAGATTTCAAGGAAGATAACCTTTTAGGGTAAATAACTACTTTTAATTAAAGTAATCATTGGGGTGTTTGATTATTCTGGACCCAGAGCTGGAAAATGGCATGCACATATTGGTGTTCTCTCCCTCCCTCCCTCCTAGATGAAGGCTTGCAGAACCTGGAGATTCCACGGAGGCCAGTCAACAGCAGGAAAGTTCTGGATATTGAGGTGTACTCCAGTCGCTCCAAGGTCTATGTGGCGGTGGATGGAACAACGGTGAGGGCTTGTGCTTTGCAACAGGAATGAACAACTGAGGTGTAGTCAGGGCACCACTAAACCCATGTTGTTTGTTTTCCCCTCTTTGGAATGGAGAGGCCCTTGTTGTTTTGAAATGGTGTTGTACAATTCTATTTCACCAGCCTTTTCCATCCCTTTTTTAAAAGCCACTACCCTGTTATGGTGCTATTGTACCTAAGCTCCAAATATTTTTGGTATAAAATCTAGCTGTAGCTCTTGCTTACGTGTTGGATTGTTGTTCCCTGAGTCAAGAGAGGCAGTGGCACAATACAAGTTCTGAGGCAATCTCCATGTTACAGAAAACAGCAATTATTGAGTGAAGTTCCTGGAAAAGGGGGTGGGAGTGGCAGTGGCTGGAGAAATACAGTCTTACCACTATTGCTCTTATCGTAGTGCAGGTTTTGGAAGATGAAGCCCGGGAGCAGGGCAGAGGCATCCATGTGATTGTGTTAAATCAGGCTACGGTAAGCAAGAAAACAAATCCTACGGTAGTATGTTTGGGGGGGGGGATCTGTTTTTTCTTTCAAAAGGCAGGTGTAAAGTCATTTGTTTACAGTGCATGAGGGTCTTTGAGTAAGAGTGGTTAATATTTAGGATATCTCCAAAACCAGGAGTAAATGGATTGATTCTGTTTATTTACCTGATGATGTAGGTTGATGATTGTGTTGCCCCATCTCTCATAGTTCTTGCTTTCATTCTTTTTTACAATCACGTCAAGAAAGTAGAGCTTTTGTACATTTCCTCACAGAGAATAATTGTTCTCCTACATCTGTACTGCAGATCTCAGATAGCATAATGTTCCTTTTAAAAATAAGATTATTCATGAAGATATGGGCATGTAAGCATTTGAATCTGAAAAGGCAGGCAGATATGATGGCGATGGACTTCCCATGGATAGTGCACACATTCTGCAATGGCTTTGGGTTTTGTGATTGACTTAACACTGTTTCTGTTGCCCTTTAACATACCTCAACTCTTGAGTAGTATCATGCTGGTGCTTTATGTGCTATGTGTGTTCTAACATGATCCACCTCCATGTCTATGAATGCCAAACAGGGACATGTGATGGCAAAGCGGGTTTTCGATACTTACTCTCCACATGAGGATGAAGCCATGGTCCTATTCCTCAATATGGTGGCCAGAGGCCGCATCCTGATCTTCACTATTAAGGTAAGTGAAGCTGGAGTCTCAACTCTTTCCGTAGAAACAGAAAACAGTAATATACTCAGCAGCTGTTTCTAATGAGTAGAGGATAGCATTTTCTTGAAGAAATTGCTGAATTTTTTCTTTTCAAGAAATTCACTGGATAATTGTCCACAATGTTCAGAGGAGGCAAACATCCAGCTGTTTCTAATGAGTAGGGGATAGCATTTTCTTGAAGAAATTGCTGAATTGTTTTTCCGATTGCTGATCAAGTAAAGCCGAATGGGTACTGAAATTCTGGAATTTATCAAGGCATTTTTTTCAAAGTTATAAATAAAATTGCTGCAAAATTAAAGAAGGTTACTCCTTGTGAGTAACACCTAAAGCAGGAGGTCCAATCAAACTGATTCTGCAACTAAAAATGAAAGCTTATTCCAAAACTTAGAAAATCATGTCCAATAACATAGTTTTTGTTCCTTTTCAGGATGAGGGCTCCTTTCACTTGAAAGACACAGCAAAGAGTCTTCTGAAGAGCTTAGGAAGCCAGATTGCAGAATCCCTCAGCTGGAGGGACATGTGGACTTTTGTGGGGAAGAAAGGAGGTCAGAACCTGGTTTTGGCATAAATCTGTCAGGCTCAGCAGGGACAGGGGAGACTCTTTCTCCTTAAAGAAGTTTTAAGACTAACTTAGCAGGTATTCTGAGGTGTTGAGACTACTGGCATAGTTAAATGGATGAGGTGGAAGAGAGAACAGAGCTCCTGTACTTCTAATGACTGTGTAGGAGAGAGACTTCTGGCCGGTGCAGCTTTTCACATCCATGTTCAGGGAAAAGAAAAGCTCTGCATACCAGTGTTCTCTCTCTCCTTTCAGACAATTAAAATACCTAATCTTCCATGGAACCTTCTCCTGTTGCTTCCTGTCTTTTCTGAAGGCAAATCTAGCATTGTTGATCCTGCTACGGTTGTTTGAAGAAAAGAAGCAGAGGAGTGTAGAAAGAGAAGTTCTGTCTGGTAGTGTACAGGCATGTGTGATGAATGCTAATCAGCCATCTAGTGGTCTTGACAACAATACTGTCTCCACAGGTGAGATCTATGGTGAAAAACATGCCAAGTCCGTGGCACTTTCCACATGGGGGGAACCAGTCTTACTGAAAACTGAAGTCCAGCTGACCTCTGTGGAAGGTATAGTGTGCATGCTTAACCAGGAGACAGTGGGACTCATGAATGTGTTCAGCTGCCTTGTACTGAATTTGTCCATAATGGTCAGTATCATCTACTCGGACTGGCAGCAGCTCTCCAGGGTTTCAGGTGGAGGTTTTTTGGTGCTGCCTAAAACCTGATCCTTTTACCTGGAGATATTAGGGATTGAAGCTGGGACCTTCTGTGTGCAAACAGGTGCTCTACCACTGAGCTCTTAGCCCCAGTCCAAGAACATAAACCTGTCAGCTGCCCTAAAGTCAATCCAGACCACTGGTCCATTTGGCTTAGCATTGTCTAACTGGCAGCAGCTCTTCAGAATCTCAGGCAGAGATGAGCCTCTATTCCCCACTCGTGCTGCCCAGCATTCTTTAACTAGAGACGCCATGGTCTGAACCTGGGACCGTTTGCATGCATGGCAAGTGCTCTCCCACTGAGCCACATGCTCGGTTTAAGAACTTTGCTATGTGTAAAGCTCTAGAGACCAGGTTTGGAATGATCCTGTATCGGGATGAGAAATGCAAGGAATTAGATCAGAATTAAGAAGTGAGGAGACAAGGAGCATGAACAGAACCCCGGTAAACAGTCGAAACCTCAGACTGTAATATCTCTGTTCAGAGTTAATGAAGTCTAATCTTTGTAGCATTTTTTTTGCATCCCCGGAGGGATATTTTTATTGTTTTTTTTAATGAGACTACAAAACTACAAAGAAAATGTAAGGGAAGGGGCTAACATCTAAGGATAAAGGATAGATAACCACACTAAACTAAAAACCCAAGATGAGGGGATCATATCCATGTTAGTCCAAATGTTATTAATAAAAGTGTTAATATAACAATATACTTGTAGAGTTCTTGTTTGTCTCAGCTTCAATGTTAGTGTGTTAGTTGTGTGAGAGAACTTTCTGAGCATCTTCATATTAGTTGCTTCAAAAGGCAATTTTCAGAGTCCTTTTGCCTTTACTTCGGTTTTCTATCTCTGAAATCATATGTAACTTTCGATGCGCCTGCACCTGTTTCTGCAGCAGAGTCCTCTTCCGTTCCCAACTGGCGTCTCAGGAATTCTTTGGCTTTGAAAGTGGAGTCAATCTTTTGTCTTTTATCGTTGATTTTAAAGATGACACCCTCTGTATGAAATTCCAGTGGTTTGAAGAAAAGAGATTAAGTCCTTATAGCTTTTCCACTTTTGGCGAATTTCAAATGGAATGTCTTTTAAAGTTTTAATGTTTATATTTCCGATTTTCAGTGGAGTTGTTGAGGTCGCTTTTAAAATGGCATCTCTGGTCTGTCTTCTTGAGAATCTGACCACAATTTCTCCAGGAAGGCTATTTTTAAAAAATATAATTGGAGTATGCCCTATAAGCAGGGGTCGTTTCGTAGAAAAAGAGCTAGGGGAACTCATTAGCATAATTCATTAGCATAACTCATTAGCATATGCCACACCCCCTGACATCACCGGAAGTGTGTCATGAGGCCACACACCCCTGACATCACCGGAAGTGTGTCATAAGGCAATACCCCCTGCCATCACCGGAAGTGTGTCATAAGGCCACACCCACCACTCAGTTAGTCTTAGTCTTAAAGGTTAGTCTTAAGGGTGCTATTT